CCCCGCAACAATTACATATATGATTCATGTTTCCCAGAGAGTGATGGTCTAAACCTTGTGAACACCATGGATAAACACGCACTTTTAATGTTTTTAGAAGAACAGTAGTCAGAGGAATAACTACTTCTTGCTCAGCAGGGGTAGACATGTTATTTTCTAAAAATTGCTCAAGTCCTGTAGGGCTATCTGAATCCACATCTCTTTTGTTTTCATGATAATGCCATTGTTGTTCATGATTAAGTCTTCGTTGATGTTCTTCCTAACTACACCTTGCATACATACCTTCTTTTCTCCTGGGTGGTCAAGTTCCGTAGGGCCATCTGAATCCACATTTCTTTTGTTTTTGCGATAACGTTGTTGTCGTTCATGATTAAGTCTTCATCGACGTTCATCGGAAGTCTCATTCATAGTGTTATTTCTATCCATAATTTTCTTGTATGTTATTTTTAAATTAGTAAATAAATTGGTAAAAAAACGCGTAATATATGAAATTTTATTGTGGAAATTGGTAATAGTCACGAAAAGTATTCAAATGCGTAACATATGAAATTTTTATTGTGAAAATTATTATTTATATACATGTGGTCTAAATAGATTATTGAATAATTTAATGAAATATTCTACCAATGAAAATGCTTCTTTATCTCCAGCTCTTAACCAATCGAAATGCCGGTTTATCTCCTTGTGAAACACCACTGTGTTTTATTATATAGATTTAATATATCAATATCTAATACTCAATATCTTTCATTCATTAGATAAGAACTATGTAATAATTTAAAATATCAAGTAGTGAGTAAATGATACATTCATTGGTTTTCAACATTATAGGATATGCTGTCTTAAACCTAATTACATAGTAATTATAGCAAAATTTTCACCTAATGTTTTTGCTGAATTATTTATTACCAATTACAAATAAAAAATATTGCTAAGAATCTATTTATTTTATTGTCTTGGAAATAATATTAAAAAGTTTTAATAGTGATCAGCATATTATAAAATTATCCAATCAATTTCTTTATGGATCAACCAATCGCAGGTAAAGCCCGCGCACCCCACATGACCAATGTATAAAATTCATTGTGTAACTAGGATAAATTTAGAAATCATCAACATAAATTTTTGATTTAATTGGATAATTTCCATATAACACAATCTGAATTTCATAAAGAAATTTTTAATCTTTTCATTATTCACTATTTTCTTTCATCTCAAAATTTTATAACAAATAAAGGTTCAAAATTTTTGTTATTTTACAATTTTTGTAATTTATAATAAATTATATATTTTTATTTATTGCTTTGTATTTTTACAACAAAATTATTTATTAATTATAGCTTTGTAATTATTCAATGGAAATATTTGTACATAAATTTAAATAAAATTAATCAATCCTTTATCAAATATTGTCTGTGAGGTTCCAGAGGACAATAAAATTATTGAAAAACTTGCAGAAATAAATAAAAGTAATATGAATATACCTGCTGGTGATTTTGATGAAGACAATGATAGCAATGAACAACCAACAATAAGCCATAAGGAAGCATCAAAAAGTCTTGAAACTGTACATGCATTTTTATTACAGCAAGAAAATGCTAGAGAACAAATAAAATTGGTTAATAAAATTGAAAGATATCTCAATGTAAAAAAAGTTAATTCATCAAAACAAACTACAATAGATAGTTATTTTAAAATATAATATAATAATAATTTTTTTTTAAAAAAAAGTGTAACACATGCAACCAATGAAATTGCTTCTCTCTATAAATGCACACCCTCCATAAATGTATGCTGTCCCTCAGTCCCAAGGGGGGTGCACTTATGGAGGTCTGACTGTATCTCATTTATCTCAAAATAGAATTCTAATTGACAACATCTTTGATAAAATTTTGAGAGACCTACTATTTATATTTAGATCTTTTGCAAAATTATAAATTGCATCTTCAACATATTTGCCAGTTGAAAGCACCATTTTAAATTGTCCTCTATTTTATTAAATTTGCTACAGAAATAATATTTTTCTTCTAACACTATATTTCTGAATTAAAAAATAATAATAATCAATCAAATGATCATAATAATCTTTCTTTTTTGTTTGAGTTTTATAATAATGCTTACTGAATTGATTCAGATTCTGCATCAATTCTTTCCTGTTATGTGAAGTGTGAATAAATTTATTATTAAAAAATGAGGGAAATTTAATATTAATTTTGAAAAAAAAAGAATCTACAGATGTTCATTACACCAAAATTTAGAATAAAAGAAAAACCATTGCGAGTTTCAAATATTTAAATTTTGATGCAAGTTTTAAATCTTTATACATGTTTTGAACTAACAAATTTTAACTTTGATA